CACTCTCAACAGGCTTCGGTGCCGGCGCTGCATACGCAGACTGTGACCGCTCCTTCAACCCCGCACGCATTCCCGGCACACGCATCGTCTCGCCTTCCGAGCTTGCTCCCTCGAAGTAAAAATCGAATTTTTGGGACTTGTGACCTGCTTAGATTAGAAAAGGGTAGTATGGGGTGCCGGAAGGTGGATAAGTAGCGTACGTACCATACAAAAGTATCAACTCCCTATGCACAACCAGCAATCAGTTCGCGCCCGTCCCACTTCCCTCTGATCCTGGCCTCGCGGGCAGCTTGCGTTGCGGCTCTTCCAACACAAGACGTTTATACAGCACGTCTGTCATCGACGTTTCAGTATCTGCACGCGTCAGTAGTACGAAACGTACATCCTGTGGCAACCATTATGGGAAGCGCGATCAACAGCGTGCGCACGCGGCGTACTTCGACGGGAAGCGGTGGTTTACTCATGATGACAGGAGAGAAAACACTCAGAGAGTGTGACGCGTTTGTGTGATTTGTACCCATTTTCGTCCACGTTGCTTCTTCGCACCAGCGATTATACGACAACGTTAGATCTATACGTTTAGACCACATCATCATGTCAATATTGCATTGCCTGTTTTCTCTGTCTTATTGTTCCGAGAGAACTTGGGACGAAAGGAGAAAAAGAAGTATTTCTCTTGGATCTTAAACTGACGACAGTGAGATTCGAACTCACGCCCCGAAAGACTAGATAGGTAAAGAAACCTGATTCTAGCGCCTTAGACCGCTCGGCCATGTCGCCTTGTGAGGTTCTCAGAATAGTGTATAATATAGCATTCTGTCAGAGCGACGTGAACCTCACCTTCCATTTATTGTTGGCCGTATGCCAAAGTTTCAATATCTCTATACAATCCACATGCCCCACTCCAAGGGCTTTCAGCATACACTTACAGCAGGACCTCCTCCCTCATATCCGGATTACTCACACCCTAGTAGTTCTGTTCCTCTGTTCTCTTTGGAAAAAAGCATAAATAATCTGGCTCTCAGGGATTTGGCAATCAATCAAATGAGATCCATGCACACAGTCCAGTGCTGGTATTTTCTGCCAGAGTCTTGATGCTTCTTCCATGATTTGGCTGTCCAGAGTCCAAGGAGTGTTTTTATATTATTCTAAGATGATGCTCAAATATATATATTTATCAAGTTTTCAATTTCCGCACTTACCCTGTTGCCTGTTGCATCATTGTCTGTGTTCAATGCAGGCATCTTTTGCACAGGACAATAACAATTTATTGGTATTTCAAGGGACGAACTACATGTACATCAATAGAAAAACATGTCCATTTTTTCCTCCTTTCTGCAAACCTTTCTCTCTCTCTTTTTGGAGTTTGATGGTTATTCTTGGTGTGTTGGTTCTGTAGCATGTAAACTTTTTTCTTGAGCAGTGTGCCTGTGTTATATTAGTTAGTGTCCCATGTTTGCATTCAGAATGGTGAGATACATACCTAGAAGAGTCAGGGTCAGATATAGATGCAGGAGATTGAGATTCTGGTGCCTCTTCATCCACATTGTGAGAAGCCTTTTCATATGGGCGGATTCTGACAGTTTGGTAATTCTCCAAGAGGTCAACAAGTTCAGTTTTATTTTTGCTTTTTGCAATATCAAGCAATGTATTTCCTTCATTATCTCTGAATGTTCTGTCCCATCCATGGTCAAGCAACAGCCTTACTTTTTGCAATCTTGGTTCACAAAAACCTGATATTGAAAGATATAGTGCATGGCAAGATGATGATATAGCACCATGGTCCAAAAGGTATCCTGCAATATCAAAGTGATGACTCTCAATAGCCATATCAAGTGCTGTCCAGGGTGAAGTAACCCGGCCTGAAAATGTCACATCTGTTACAGACATGAGAGCTGGCTTTCTTTCAACAAGGAAAATGACCATATCTAAGTTTCCACTACTAGCTGCATTATGCAAAGGAGTATAGCCTCTAAATTCTAGACCATCAAGGTCTATTTCTTGATTTATTAAGTAATTCACATCTTCTGCATTTCCAAACATTGCACATTTGTACAAGAACTTAGGACTCCATTTATTGCCAGATTGACATAGGGTGGGCCTGACCCAATCCACAAGTTTATGAGATAGAGTATCGTTCCCTTTCAAGAGTGCATTTTTATAAAGTTCAACAACCACAAGCATGATTTCTTCTTGAAAGTCTTTAAAAGTAGAATAATGTACCAACTGCTGAAGAGAAAACTCTTTGGTGAGGCATTCAATGAATTGAACATATGGTGTATTCTTCTTTGAGAAGGAAGACCTTGATGAGGAATATTTGAGGACAGAGAGATAAAGATCATTGGAGGCAGAAAAGTGAAAATGCATGGACCTCCGGAACAAGCTACAAGTAGCCTCAGTGATAATTTCTTTCACTGAGGCATCAGATGAGTAGTTGAATAGCCAACCCAAA